GGGTTCACCTTTGTGGAACTGTAGTACCCCCTGGTTTACGCAAGAGCTGGGGCTGCTGATACACCAAGCTAGGCATGAATATGGAACTCACTGAAACTCATGGGAAATGGGGTTGGGAGAAGGCTGGGTTTGTTCAGGCTGCAGTACCTGCAGGCACACGCAAGAATTGAGTCTCAGGGTGGGCCAGACCACTGCATCACCAGCACACACAAAAGATGGGACTGAGGGTAGACCATGCCAAACAGAACCACAGCACCACCAGCACATGTGAGATCCAGGTCTAAGAGTATGCCTGGTGGGAGAACTTGTGGAATTCCTCTACTAGGTCACAGCTCCCATTGGTGAGTATGGGAGCTGAGGCTGGGGGAACTCGACACTAGGCTGGCCTATGGCATACATGTGATCTGGGTTTGGAGGGAGACCTGGCTGGGCAGTGCAGGCCAAGCTACGTTGGGCTGTAACATCCACCAGTTCACATGAGGACTGGAAATGGGGGCTGTAGCACCCACCAGCATGAGCTGGAACTGGGGGTAGGACAAACAGAATCAGGCTGTAGCACCCACTGGTGAATGCTAAGCAAGCCATACCAGACTGGGTCCTAGTACCCAGTCTGAGACCCTGCTTAAGACCCTTGGCTGGGGACAGCCCAGTAAGGGAGTTTCAAGGAATTTCCTGCTAGACCACTGCTCCCACTGGGAAGACTTGAGAGCTGAGACTAGGGACAGACAAGGCTGGGCAGGGTTGCAACATTTATCGGCCTGCATGTGAGCTCGGTTTGGTGGAAGGTAAGGTAGGCTGAGCCACCATATCAGCTGGTGCATGCATGAGCCAAAATAAGTGTGGGTCAGCTGGGCTTTGCATAGTATTCATCAGCAAGTGAAGGGACTGGGTACAAGTCTTGTTAGGTTGGAACATAGTACTTTCTGGCAAGTACAAGATCTGGCACTGGCAGTGGGCCTAGAAGGGAAACTGTGGGCACTCCTCTGCCAGGCTGAGGTTACCCTGCTGAGCATAATAGCCAGGGCTGGGGGTGGGCCAGTCTGGACAAGGCAGTAGTACCTTCGACACACATGTGGACTATGTCTGGGTGTGGACTGGGCTGAGTTAAACTGCAACACCCATAGGTGCGTACGAAAGCCTGATGGGATGTGGGACAGGCCAGACCAGTCTGCCATACATAGCAGCATGTGCAGGAACCAGAGCTGAGAGAGGGCCTGGTGACAGTTATTGGGGTTTTTTCTGACTAGGCTGCAGTTCTCACTCATATATATATAAGGGCTAGGTTTGTAGAAAGCTGAATTGGGCTTGGTCACAGGACCCATTGGTTTGCTGGAGGTGGGCCTGAGGGCAGAACTGACTAGGCAACTGCATTCACCAATGTGTGCATAGGTTGATGTAGATGATGAACTGAACTGGTTCCTGCACACCAGTCAGGTCTGAGGTCATCCCAGGTCAAGTTTCTTGGGTGACTACCCAGATGGACCACTGGACTCAAACTCTGGTCATGGGGAAAGATTACAGGATATGTGGTTTGACCTTAGAGTGCACATATCAGAACTGGGCCTCTCAGTTGCTGATGCGTGTGCAGTGGATAGGCTGCCCAGATGCACACAGCAGACATGAAAGCCAGCTCATTTAGGCCAACAGAGGAGTTTGAATGACTCACCAAAGGATGGAAAACAGAACAGGCTGGACTATTCTCCTAGCCAAGCTTTGCAGCATATCCCTGAGTGTGTGGCTGCACTAAGGTGGACATGGTCAACCAACAGGCCTTGGAAACATTTTCTCAACCCTGGAGCAATGAAACCAACAATGTCATGTCTCAGAACTGCCAAAAACCATTGATGTAACACCCTCTAAGCAATCTTCCCTACATCAGGATCTCCAAAATGACATCAAGTGGCCAACCCCCATCCCCAGGTGCTGATGTAGTTTGACAGCAAGGAGTGACTCTCTCCCCTTCTCCCCTCACCCCACAGATACACAAGAAAAAGAAAAAAATTGGAAACATTTGTCCCACCCACCTTTCTCCATGCCTCGACCCTTCCCACCCTTATTAGTGGACCACATGGACATATATCTCTTTCAATTATGTAAACAACACTAATAAAATAAAATTAAAAAAAGAAATGCTGGGCTTATCAAGCATGTAAGAGGGCTTTGTGCTTGTAGACTTCCTTATTCTGGCCCCTGGTTTGAGGTCACCCAGGGAAAGTCCAGTATCTGAAAGCTGGAAAGCAACTCCCAGGAAAGCAAATAGTTCCGCATGGAACCGGCTCTGTGGTAGATGTGTGACTGACATGTTTAAAGTCATCTCGGCTTGATTTATCATGAGTATGTGTTCCTCCAACAGGACAGGCGGTGATATCAAAATACTACCTGGTCATCTATGGTATTGGTCACAGTTCACCCCAAACCTCACCCTTGTATAATCCTTGTGCTAGGAATTGTGGGAAGCATAAAGGTAAAAGAAGTCTCTCTCTCTCTCTCTCTCTCCCCACCTTTTTCTTCCTCCCCACCCTCTCTCTTTCTCCCTCATTCTCTCTCCAGATGCTAACTGCCGAGTCCTCACCATATACTGCCTCCATCAGGGCAAAGTTCAGCCTCAGAGAGACTGTGTTGCTACAGGCAGGAGGGAGAAAGAGAGCTTTAACTGGGAGAACACATATACCATGTGAGTGAGTGAGTGAGTGTGTGTGTGTGTGTGTGTGTGTGTGTGTGTGTGTGTGTTGGGGGTGGGGAGAAAGGAAAAATTGCAGAGCAAATCCCTGCAGAAAAACCTAATCTCATTGAACAGCTCCTTATTACAATAGCTGGTTTTCTATTCAGGGATCTAGGGACCCAGAGACTCATAACCCACCCATTCTTCTGACTTGCAACTTCTAAAGTTGACATTCCAGCCAAATCTGGGCAGCACATAGGTGTCGCGGCCAGTTTCCACTCTTTGCTGCCTTCCAGAGGTTCATGGGGAACCACACAAATGACAGGCTGAGGCAAGCCTGGGTTCTAGCACAGACTTTGTCAATGCCAATGGCACCTATAGTAGGATCTGAGCTTTAGGCGAGAGACCGGTAAATGGTGATTTGTTCCTTAGGTAGAAGATTATTATAAGTATGAAACACTGTATGCAGGACAGGTATTGTGGTACACTATAGCTCAATGTAGCTTGCAACAACCACATCTCACATTGAAGGGCCTGTTTGAACCCTAGATACTCTATTTTCTATCCTGTTCCCTCCTAATGCACCACAAAATCAGCAGAAGATAGCCCAAATACCCGGGTCCTGCCACCTGTGTAGGATGTCAAGATGTGGTTTCTGAATTCTAGTTTCAGCCTGGCCAAATCTTGGCTATTGCAGGTATTTTGACAATGAACCAGTATCTCTCTCCCCCTCTCCTCCCAACCCTTTCTCTCTTTCTCTCACATAAATAAATAAATTTTGAGGTCTGCTTTATTTATTTGAAAGGTGGAGTGACAAAGACAGAGCAAGACAAAGAGAGAGATCTTCCATCTGTTGGTTCACTTTTTAAATGGCCACAATGACTGGGAGTAGGCCAGTCCTGGAACTCCATCAAGGTTTCCCATGTTAGGAGCAGGGCTCTGAGTACATCGACCATCTTCCAATGCTTTCCTAGAAGCATTAACAGGGAGCTGGATCAAAAGTGAGGCAGCCGGAAGTCTAAACCAACACTCACATGGGATGTTGGCATTGTGGAAGGCAGTTTAATTTACTGTGTCACAAAGCTGGTCCCATAAAATCATCTTAAAAATGAAACACAGCACACAGTACAGAAGACAAGAACAAGCAGGCATTTTCTGTTTCCCTCCCCTCCCTCAAGGCCATTCTGTTATTCCAAGCCAGGTTTAGAATTATTGGCCAGGACTTTGCAGTTAAAATTAAACAAACACTCCACTCTCCCTAGTGACTGCAACCACAGCCTGGGCTAATGTTATTCTTTCCTTCTTCTCAAGGGCTCTTTTTCTTCTTCTCTAACTGAGGCTCAACAGGCTGCCTTCAGCTGGACCTAAGATTGGAACCTAGGCCTGCAAGCATTTTGTTGGTCACACCATCCCCTGGTTTGGTGAGTCAGGCAGATCCTCTCTTGGGCCTCTAGTCCCCCATGCACACATATGCAGTGTTTACCAAGACAGCAGATTCTGTGTCATCTAAGAAAGTCACATTCAGATACTAGCGCTTCAACACAACAAGCTGTCACCACTTGTGAGGCCAGCATCTCATATGAGCACTGGCTGGTTTCCAGCTGATCCATTTCTGATCCAGCTCCCTGCTCATGTATTTGGGAAAGCAGTAGAAGAGGGCTCGTTTTTCGAGAGACCCTGCTACCCACACTGGAGATCAGATGAAGCTGCTAGCTCCCGGCCTTAGCCTGGCTTAATCTTGGCTAGTGTATGGTTATTTGGGGAGTGAACTAGCAGATTGCTCTGTCTCTGCTTGTCTGTAACTCTCCCTGTCTGTCACTTTGTGTGGCACATACATATTATATATATGTCTTAAAAAATAAAGCTATATTCCATTTCCAACCAATGTAAAAGGGTAAAATCACCTATAATCAAAATTAGCCCCCAGAATCCCTTAAAATGTCCATGAAGTATGCAATAGCACCATCTCACAAGGAGGTCACAGTCACCTCATTATCTCCTACCAGCAACCAGTTCACAGCTTCTTTGACTGCCAGGTAAAGAAAGTTAGCCTATGATTGGGGGCCATGAAGTGTGAGAATTATATCTGCACCCTTAAGCATTAAAATGACAAATAGAGGCTGGAAGAGACTTCAGCACATACAGAACTCTCCCACCTCCTACTCACCCACAGCACCTGCTTAGGCACAATCAGCCAAGCTACTTCAGAAGAAAATAACTTCCCTTCTCCCAATCTTGTCTTTTTCAGCTGTTTTTTGTTTTTATTTGTTTTGTTTGCTTATCTTAATTATTTCTGCTAAGTATTTACACAATGAATTCCAAATCAAGATTTGCTTTTGCACTCACTTTATCAGCACATATACTAAAATTGGAATGATACAGAGAATATTAGCATAACCCCTAAACAAAGATGACATAAAAATTCGTGAAGCCTTCTACATTAAAAAATAAAATTAAAAATTATTTTGCATTGCCTACTTATACAAAATTAATCACTGACTTTATTTTTAAAGTAAGTGAACTTGATTATCGTAGTCACTGTCTAGCCAGGAAAGTGGATGAGAAGACAATAAACACATGGGCACAAAAGGCACAATTGTATGGAATGAAAAGGATGGGTTTTTGGGAGATGATGAACATAGGGGAGGTGACATAACTAGGTATATTCTCACCAGAGCAACAGAGACCTGAGGGGAGCATCCCAAAGACAGTCTACATGAACAACCAAGTCTAATTTCACTAACTATAAAGCATTTTACTGCCTTAAACACATTCTTTATATAAGTAAGCAACACTTCTTCCTTACGTCAATTAGTAAGTCATGAGTTACAACTGAAGCAGAAGGCAAACTCCTACGAAATCATTAACTAAGGTATTATAAAAGGAATCATTTCTTCTGCCTAATTTGAAAATCTGTGATGAAAGAGCTTATTCACAGAAATCAACTTTTGGCAAGGCTCCTGTAAGACTCATTTTCTAACTGTAATAAATTGAGCTTATTTTAGGTCAGTGTCTAACGACTCACATTCCATTATTAGATTTGTATGCTGATATCACTGTATTCTTTCCATAGGAGCAGAACACATGAACCCACTCATCCACCTCAACAAATGAATCAACATCTCTTAAGAGGAGCTTTAGTGTATCTATGTGAATTCATCCTGTTGATTAAATGAATTCCCATTTGTGAGAAAATGAATCAGTCTAACATATATCCCTGGCTACTGGCACAACTACATCTCAATAGAGTTACTATATACCTATCATTATTGAATTATTGAGCACACTTGAAATGATGTAGAAGCTGGGCAAAGAAGCAAGCTATTACTTACAAACAATCATGAACTCACATGAATGGATCACTTGTTTGCATTTTCAATAAATCATCAGCCAACACTTCATGAACAAAACAGAAGTAGGTTGGACAACACTGCATTCAAAGACCACTTGAGTGGATAAGTCCTGAAAAGACACACAGACCCACTCCATGTCTGATGTACATACTCAGCGAGTAGGAACATTTGGTCAAGCCACTTTCAGAAAACAGTAGTAGGACATACCTTATTATTCATGGGGAGATAGCATGGTCATTTGCCACAACAGAATAAAACAAAAACAGATTTACATAGAGGTTAAGAAGAAGGACATCATGTCTGGATACTCTATTGTAGAAAGTGGATCTAACTGAAATTTCCCAAATTCTTTCAATTCCTGGTATTTTAATCTATCAAATACATAGGACACTACTGATCTCATAAAAATGACACAAGTTTTAAAGGATGATAACATATAAAGTATTTGGCATTCAAATAGGCAAGGACTCTATAAGGCTGATTTTACACTTGCCTGTGTGAATGAATTAACCCAGGGGCTCTTCACACTATTGCTTGCTCTCAATGAACTCTACTCTGTCTACATTATTTTCTCTTTTTGCCTCTAAAATTGCACACACTGTAAAGCAGGAAGTACAATGACCCACCCCCAGGAACCGAATCTTCCTATCCAGTTCCCTGTGCTATGGACTGACCTGGGGTGGACATGTGAATCAGTGCCAGTCAGTGAGAGGAAGGCAAAGCCTGCCAGGGAGAGTGTGTATGCACATTTACTAGATCAAAGAAGAGATCAGCAATTCACAGTCTCCCAAAGTGTGCAGACAGTTCTGATGTCAGAACTGAGAATCACCTTCCTAGAAAAATGGTTCTCAAGCCTCTTCACTTACTGCCCACTTTGGGCATTCTGTGTCCTGCCTACTTCTTTCCCTTAAAATCACAACCATTTACATGCAAGCTACATGGTAGAATCTTACTTTTTAGTACAACTAACTACAGTCCTCAGAAAGAACTTTAGAATTCACTTAGCAGATTTTTGCTAGCAATCTTTAATTGTGAGTAAAAACTAGTGTTTTATAAGGTTGTTCATTGCTCACCAAATAAAAGACTTTAATTTTTTTTTTTTAAAGATTTATTTTTATTATTTTTCATTGGAAAGGCGGATATACAGAGAGGAGAGACAGAGAGGAAGATCTTCCATCCGATGATTCACTCCCCAAGTGAGCGCAACAGGCCGATACTATGCCGATCCAAAGCCAGGAGCCTCTTCCGGGTCTCCCACGCGGGTGCAGGTTCCCAAAGCTTTGGGCCGTCCTCGACTGCCTTCCCGGGCCACAGGCAGGGAGCTGGAAGGGAAGCGGGGCTGCCGGGATTAGAACCGGCGCCCATATGGGATCCCGGGCGTGCAAGGCGAGGACCTTAACCACTTGCGCCACCGCGCCGGGCCCAAGACTTTAATTTTTATATCAGGTCATAATCAATCAAGGGGATCATATGTCTGAAGGAATGCTATTTGCAGAAACATTGAACTAGAACCGGATCATGCTGTTTAAGTCAACTATGCACATATGTGAAAGGTGTGTAAACTCGTGTGGGCTCATCTTCCATCATCCTCAATGGGAAGACCAGGTACTGCCAGACACATCCACTCTTATTTCCCCCTATTTCCATCTTTACACGATTTCTCTCCCCACTACTCACATTTTATTTAGCTTTCTCCTGACTCCCCCTTTTTCCATTTATTTCAGAGAAATTTCTTTTTCTATCTCCCTTTGGAAAGACAAATACTAGTAAAATCGTTAAGTAAACTGAAGTAATTAAACTACATGAAATATATTCTCCCAGAGAATTACAGACAATAAAGAACTGACATCTTCTGAAACTCTTGAGGTGCCCAAGAATCCCCTTGAGAATGTCTTAGCATTTCCACGAAACAGCTGCCCCTTTAGTGCCTGACTAAATGCACCTCAAGCAAATGCTCCTGAAAACAAAAAAATGCCTCTCCCCTTCAATTATTGAGTTCTGTTTATTTCATTGCTAGACTTCAAAGATTTTTTTCCCCCAAATCTGTTGGAAATGAATACTAATTTATTTATTTATTTTAACTCTCATGAGTTAAAAGATATGTGTAGACTGAGTTGGGAACATAAACACGTTTCCCTTTAAAGTCTAAGCCACAGATCATCTTGGAGCATACTGCTGCAGTCTGGCAACTAATAATGATACCATAACCTGCTCTCCTTGCATAAAGTAGGCACCATCAACCGTAATAACGACAAAAGGAAGACAAACCCATGCATCCCAGAGATGTGACTTTCCATTTTTAAGGCACCATGTGGCAGACATGGCTATTAAGTTTCTTAAGAGATACAATTTGTGAAGCCTATTTTTAGATCTTATCATATCCTTTGAGGCCATTTCAAAAAGTCTGTGGAAAACATGGAAGTTAAAGTTTATTTTCTTGAAAAAGTTTTTACAAAATGCATGCTTTTTCTCTCTGTGTGTGTGTGTGTGTGTGTGTGTGTGTGTGTGTGTGTGTGTTTTTAACCACGTGCCATGTTCCATGAACTTTTGGGAGACTCCTGGCACATTTGCTTCTTTCTGAATCCAAATGGCTTCACTGAGCGGCAGTGAAAAGCAACCTGAAACAGATAAAAGCAGGAAGCCAGGCAATACCCACAGCAATGAATGACGACAAACAAGCCCAGTTTGAGAGGGCACTGGAAAGTGGCATGTCCTGACACTCCCACCTTATCCTTCTCCAGGCTGGTGGCCTGGGAAACTTTTGTGATACAAGCATAAAAAATTATGCTTCAAAAGCTTTGTAACAAGCGAATACTGGGGAGAAACGATTCATTATCGGGGCCGATGCTGCGGGGCACAGATTGAACTGCAACACTTGGCATCACATATGAACACACCAACTCCATTCCAACTACTGTTAATACATCTGATAAAGCAGCAGAAGATGGGTTCCCCTTTGGTTCCACATGGGAAGCCCAGGTAGAGTTCCAGGTTTGGTCCAGCCATAGCTGTTGGGGCCAAGAGAGGAATGAATCTCAGTGTATGGAAGAACTCTCTCGCTTTCTTCTTCTCCCCTCTCTTTCTGTATAACTCTGCCTTTTAATCAAATAAATAAATAATTTTAAAAATGCATGTTTCTTTGTTTAAAATCATGACACAAATATATTTGTTTGTATGAAGCATTTAAAGTCCACCCCCAACACAATCACACACACACACACACACACACACACACACACACACACCAGGAAATGGGCCAGTATATCCCTTCTGTAGATGTCTTTTTCATCATTTGAAATCTGCAGCCACAGTTTGCAACATGATTTCACTCTAGACCGATAAGCACCTGTCTCAACCTTCCTACAACACAGCCCCTGTAGATCATAGAGCAGTGCCTCTGTGATTTCCAAGTTAACAGAAAGTGGAGTCTCAGCCAGTGTGAGAACCTGGCCAAGATTCTCAAGTTATTTAATGATGGTGTTATGACTGGATCCAGGTATTAAGCTCAGGTCCAAGGCTGATTCCCTCCAGACAAGTCCTGAAGTCACAGCCACATGCTCTCTCCCACTCGGGTTTGCTGCTGAACAACATCCCAAACTGTTTGCAGGGATTGCTGTAGAACTTCCAAAATGCGTCTGCTCACCCAACGTGCAGAAAGTCAATCACTGATTAAAGAAAGCAGGTATTTATTGCAAAGGCCAGAGCAAGGAGCCAGGCAGTTATTGCTGTATTCCTGAGGCTTCCCAAGAAGTTAGGGGAGAATGTTCTTATAGATTGAATTGGGGCTGAGAAGTGCATGATCATCTTGTGTCCAAGTTCCCTGTGGTCAGTCGAGCTCGTGACCTTTCTTTGGTTGGTCAGTGATGTTGCACTCTTTAGGGAAGTTATGATGACCCAGTGGGTTCCAGCAGGAATAGGGATTATATGGGTGGCAGTTACATTCTGCCCAGATCTGGAATTCTCCTACACCAATCACCCCAGGACAACAGTGGTCATCAATTTTCTCATCTATTTGAGAAGCACAGGATTCTTTGAGTCCAGTGACTAGAACCTTACAAGGCCAGACAGTTCACTCTTTTATGTCAGTGAATT